TAATAATAATACAAATCTTGAGTTGGATTACCTGGCCCCTCACTATTGCTCAGGAAATGGTAGGTCTTAATACAGAAATTATGATTCACAGCATTTATAAAATGTGTCATAGAGACCTGTTGATGAGTAACCCAATCAGCTGCTTCAAACTGACTTAGCTCAGCCAGAAGAAGATAATACAAGCACGAATAAGGGTTTAAAGATGTTACACCTGTCAGCTCCCTAGGAGAAGTTACTGAAACAGAAGCCATGCCCATGCATTAACCACAGGTATTAAAGAAGGCACGTTACTGTAAGTCATTGTTACTGTAGTGATCTTAAAGAATTAAGACCACATTCATAATGTCCAAATTTGTCTCCAAGGAGAAAGTCTGAGTTGGGAAAATATCTGGATCATTAAGTAATTTCCTCGGGTCAGAGTAAAAGCACTTTATCTGTGAATATTACTTCCACGGCATATTACATGTGGCACAAGATAGTAACAAAGTGACCTTTCTCTTAAACATCTCATAGATTACTAGAATTTTCTTCAACTTCCTGGAACAAACTATATTCCATAGTCTAGTAAATCTTAAATGTTGATTTTCCTCTGAACTCTCTACCCATCTTGCTCAACACCACTCCCCAAGTTAATATCCTTTGTTGAGTTTCACTTTAGTTCATCTCCATTCCACGTTTAATTGTTTATCACATTTTCAGACACACGATCTATTATGGCTAACTTGATATTTGCATAATAGTTTTGATGTCCCAATATTTCTTTTCTTTCTTTCTTTTATTTTTTTTTTATTACAAAGGAAGCTATTTTACTCCATGTATTTGTAAATTGGTGGCTTCTTCTCCAACATTGTCAATAACGACACTGTCAATTATTGGGAAGGGAAGTTATTTCCTAGAGATCCCTCAAACACAGATCCATAAAACTGACGGTGAGATTTGCTGTGCTATAGCTGTACTAACACACCATGGAGATCTCCATCTGGTCTTGACCCAAAGTAATTTCGATTTTCCAAAGAAAATTACACCGAGGCAGGAAGTACTTAGAAGGGATGCAGGAAAAGAAAGTAGAGAGAGTAGGACTAGGAGTAATCCTTGGACTAAGTGACTTAAGCAGGGACCATTTCCATATGGTAAGAAGGGTGCGCTTGGGAATGGAGCTCAGGAGCTCTAGGAGCCGAATATGATGGCCGGATGGGTGCACAGTAGTTTTTCATTAGCTTTAGATTGGTCATGGAAAAGCAAAAAAAAACAAAGGCCACAAGCCTAACTGGGTCTCCTGTGCTTTGGGTTCTGTGTAGAAGCAGGGTTTACTGGGAATGGCAAAGGTAGTACAGGGTAGGTATTTAATTTCTAATGTTTAATTCGTAAGTGATGTTTATACTTTTTAGTATACATTTGAAAAAAGAATATTATGTAAACGTAGTCCAATAATACCTAGGTGAACCCACAGCATGCAATGTGGTATCACATTCAAAAGAAATGCTCCTCTATTATTATTAAAAAAAAAAAAAAAAGGCAGGGAGGGTATGTTGAAAATCAGCTTAAGTATTTACTGGAGTCTCCTGAGTAATTGGTGAGAAATTCCAGTAATATCCTATGTGCAAATCTTAAAAAACTCATTCTTCCCTAGATCTTTCTGATATCTCAGCACAGTATGGCAAGTTATGTCTCACCTCAATATTGCAAAAGCTGGGATCACTTTGTTTTCTCACTTTCCTAGCCTGATATTCCAGATTTATTTCCCTCTTCAGGAGCTAGCTGTGAACTCCTTTATATAAGGGTTCAGAGTCTGCAGTCCTTCCCTTTATCCAAACTGGCACAATGAAAGACATAATTATTTATCTAATAAGACTAGAATTTTCTAATAATGTAGAGGGATGGATGTGTTTGCTTTAAGGATGTTATTTCTGTAATAGCCACTGAGGGTCATAAATTCATGTAAATATTCCAGTTTACACGAAGTAAGCCCTGGGTTAAACCATTTAGGTACAAAAGAGCATTGTCTTCTTAAAAGCCTTACTTTTTCTCAAAACAGTACCTTCATTTTTCTCTCCCAGTAAATTAAAAGGCACAATTAAAAAACTAGCTCTTCCCATTTTGGGGGCAACTTTTTAATAAGATACACTTCTACCCAATTATACTTCTAAATCTTTAGCAATCAGCACCATATAAGAAAAAAAAAAAAAGCAGCTCAAAAAATGTAGCAAGAACTGAGTAACAGATTTTCAGCCCTGTGTCTATACACTAATGTTTAAAATCTGTGTAAATGACTTTGAGCTGATTTCTCAGGTTGTAGAGAGAATATGATCTTTGAATACTTAGTAAGGTCATAGATAACAAACTCAAGTGAATTTGTGATGAGTCCAAATGACCATTCTTGAAGCCACTAACCTGCTTCTGCCCTCGGTTTAGTTTTTGCATGTCTGGGTTGGTTGTAAGGCCAACAGAAGCCCTCTGAGGAATGCCAGACAGGAAAACTAGCAGTGGCTCATGATAGGAGTTTCAAGTTGTAACCTCAGAGTGATGGGTAGCTTTATCTTACAAATGTGCTAGATACCACAAGTTACTTTGAAATAGAATGAGGGTTGGCAGTGGTGACTTTGGGATAAAAATTATTTAAAATTGTCATTAAAGCTGTCATCCTTGATTCATTGACCCCACAATACATATCTTAGAACTTTAAAATTTAGGTTGATAATGAAGTGTGAATTCATATCAAATTTAAATTATTAACAGTGGCAGTGATACTATAGCTAATTGTAAATTTATTCTAATAATGTGCTCACAATAATATTTGCTTCCTGTTTTGATGGCATAACTAAGGGTTACTTGTAATAAAAAAAGAAAACAATATCATCCTTCTGGAATCTGTATCTGTAGCTATAAAGGATACAACACACTCCTTTCTGGACCACTTCCAGACTCATAAGTGATACGTATTTTGGGTGATTTACTTTGAGCCAAGAATTACTACCTGGTATTTGTGGGTATGGTAGTTACCTTTAGCACCATGTAGGTACCTGGAATTGTAAAGACAATGGATTTTAGTAAAAATTGAGCTTCATACTTAATTACAAAGGAATTGTGTGGGTTCAGGTAAATGCAAAGATTGAAAAGTAGTGACAAATGTTATATATCCTAGATACTTATGTATCTATTTGTATATTTAGTATGGAGCAGAAAGGACAACAATGAAAATATAAATGAAAATAATTGTGTCTTATAGTAGAATAATAATCTTCTGGTTTACAAATAAGATGTTTACATCGACCTGCAAAAAATAAAATGTTGAAAAGGCTTCAGTGCATCTGACAAAATTTTGATTTGCCTACTCACCCACAGGAGACATTTCTGGGACACTAGCAATGTAGGGTCCATCCAAAAACTTTGGCTCATTATCATTAATATCCTGTACTTTGATGATGAATTCTGATTCAGGCTCCAGGGGCTTCCTGGTTTCTATGTCCACAGCCTGAGCACGGAGTGTGTAGAAAGGTTTTTCTTCTCTGTCCAGGCTCCTGATTGCATGGATGTCCCCTGTAGTTTCATCAATGGTAAAAACTGTGCCAGCGCCATCTCCCGAGAGGGTGTACTTAACAGTGCCCTCTCCTTTATCTAAGTCAGAATGGAGCTTTTAGGGGGAGAGAGAAAGAGAGAGACAGAGAACACCGTCAAAGGGATGGTTCCATAATAAAAATACTTGCAGTATAATTTTTTATCAGAAAAGTTGAAATAAAAATCTTATGGTTCTTTTTTCATTGTTTTCCTTTCTTCTTTTTCTTTTTCTTTCTTCTTTCTTTTTTTTTTCTAACTCTTTGATTATAAATATTTTAGAGACATACGAAAAGTAGAAAAAAAGCATAATAAACATTTATATATACATATACATCCCAGATATTCCACCATTTACCTTTTAATTTACATTTGACATTGAACAATGCAGGGATTAGGGTTGTTGACCCCTGTAGTTGTAGTAGTGCAGTTGAAAATCTGTGTATAACTTTTATCTCCAACAAGACTTAACCACAAATAACTGTTGAGTGGAAGCCTTACCAATAGTATAAACAATAAGTCAACACAGATTTTGTATGTTATTTGTATTATATCCTGCATTCTTTTAAAAAAGATTTTATTTATCTCTTTATTTTAGAGAAAGAGAATGAGCATGAGCAAGGGAAAGGGAAGGAGTGGACGGAAAGGAAGAGAATCCCAAGCTGACTCCATGTTGAGTGGGGAGCTCAAGGCAGGTCTCAAACTCATGACCCCGAGATTGTGACCTAAACTGAAATCGACTGAGTCACCCAGGCTTCCCTGTATTCTTACAATAAAATGAGCTAGATAAAACAAAATGTTATTAAGGAAAAATAAGGAAGAGAAAATATATGTACAGTAATTGTACTGTATTTATTGATACCATAAGTTTATGTATTTATGACAAAAATGCATGTAAGTGAGTTTTAACCTCCATGAAGTTTAAAACCATGTTGTTCAAGGATCAACTGTATTTGACTCATCTCATTTTTGGTCACACATCTACCCTTCCATTCATCCTTCTGTCAATCCATTTTATTTCTCAATGCATTACAGAGATTGTCTAAGTACTGCTTTCAAATACATGAACATGCATAAATACAACTAATTTGTTATCTGAATTTATTTCTTTTACACATTTTTGGAGATAAAATTTTCATAAAATGAAATGCATTAATCTTAAGTATGCTCATTTCATTTTAAGTAATTGTTGTAATAAATATAAATGAGCTCATCAATGCCAAATCAGAAACCCTCCTGAATATCCTAAATTAAAAAATCAATGACCTGAATGCAGTCAGAGAGAAGGTAGAAGAACTCAGAAAACATTAAACTTTTTTGTTTGAAAGGAGAGGAGAGATTTGGCAAACCAGATGGTTTCAGATATGTGTAGTGGAGTATTTCATTTTAACAGACTGTCTTTTAATGAGTTATTCAATATTACTCAGCCAAATGTTGGATAGAATCACTGATTATCCTTTCAGATTCACAGAAAAATGGCTTGCTCTAATTCATTCTATATATTTGAAATCTTATAATATAGAAAAGTTTCAAACTTCTAATTTTTCAACACATTTATAATTCACTTTAGTATAGCATGTAATAAGATACACATAACACAGAGGAGAGGACCAAACAGAAGAAAAATTATCTTTGTGATTCTGTGGGGCAATGTTTTTCAAACTGGAGTCCAAGAATTATTATTTTTTAAAGATTTTACTTATTTATTTGACAGAGAGAAAGAGAACAAGCAGGGGGAGGAGCAGATGGAGAGGTAGAAGCAGGACCCCTGCTGAGCAATGAGCCTGACACAGGGCTTGATCCCAGGACCCCAGGATCATGACCTGAGCCAAAGGTAGACACTTAACCAACTGAGCCACCCAGGTACCCCTGGAGTCCAAGAATTAATAGAAGATGAACATTGTCTTCGAAATCCATGAAGTATCCAATAATGTATTTATATGATATAAATATTACATTATTTATAGTTCTCTAAGAATAGGTATACTCATAAATATATATTTTATAAATAATATAAACACACACTATTTAAATTATATAGCATGTATAGTTTTATAAATACTATTTTTTATTCAGATGCTGATCTAAAATGTTTTAACCTATTCCTACTTATTTGGGTAGGGTCATCTGATATCAGGGTCCACATTTTTACATTTAAAAGGTCCTTCCAGCCAACAGACCAGCCAAAGAAAAAAGGTTAAGCTTTTAGTGTCCATAGTCATCTGGGCTATGCTTCAAAATTTGCATACAAGCACAGCATTCTTGCAAAATTTTCTGTAAGAATGTGTTCTGTATTTTTTTTTAATATTTCAACCCACACAAAAAAGCTTTGAAATATTTTAAATTATATAAATATCCTTTTGCCAATAGGCTTTCTGTGTATTAGTATTAGTAAAATCAAAACACAAAACACCAAACTGAACAGTGGCTGTATCTGTGTTCTTAAACTCAACGTTCTGGTCTAACTTCAGTAAAATAACATCATCCTTCAAATCAATGTTATTAAAATGAATGTGTTCATTTTGTGAATTTGTATTTACTTCAAAATTTTCTCTGAAAGTATATTTGTATAAGAGCATAACAAAGAATTGATTCCTGGGTCCGTGTTATAGTAAAAAGAATAAGAGAACAAAAAGAGGGCACATGATTTTGATTTTTCTTTCACGTTTCCGCACATTTTACTCAAGTCTAAAGAAAATTGCTATAAATGATGAAGAAGATTTTCCCCCCTATTTTTCTTTTTCTTTTCTTTTCTTTCTTTCTTTCTTTCTTTCTTTCTTCCTTTCTTTCTTTCTTTTTTTTTTTTTTAACAAACTCTTATGAAGCACAGGAAGTTTCAAGTGTAAAATCAAGCTGTAGATAAATGTACTTTGAACTTCCGAATTTCAAATTACATATTTCACCCATACAATTTAAGTATTCAACACGGCAGGTATTGCTCTTGCTTTAAAATTTATCTAAAGATATGAGACAGGCAAAAGCTCAATGCAAAAGTAAAGACTTTATAAACTGCATCCATTTTGCCAATGGCTTTGAGACTATGTGGTAATATTGTGGGAAACAAGTGAAAATTTGAAGAAGGTTTTTACAATGTGATCCAAGCAGAATTACAAAAAAAATCCTCATTTGGCTAAAATCAGAACTGTTTTCTTTTCGAACAGACATAAGAATAGAAAAGCAAATGTGTTTTCAGCTCTATCCAAGATCGAAATTAAATTCAGTTGCTGTTACTCCTTACTCTTTTACCTTTTTCTTCTAATCTAAAATGAAGTTTTGTAGAGATTGAGGCTTCAGAAGAAACATGTGAAAATACGTTAACATTTTGAACTGAAAATGAAGTTGATTAATGTAAAACTTGTGAGAGGATTAGAATTTTTAGAGCAGTTCATTACAGGACAATACCTCATAGGAGACCCCCTGCAATATTCTGTATTGTCAGGCAATATTTAAAATTAGTCAATTTTGATTGAACTGGCACATGAATGACTACCTTAAAATATAGGTATTTTTCCAACATCAGTTCTAATATTAAATAAGTGATGGCCTGATGTGGGTATTATAGATAACTTCTTTTATCTTTTCAGTATACTTTCAGTTATAGTGAGCATTTACATATAAATTGCTATAAACAAAAATATATATATATCTAAAAGAGTATACATATGGAAATATATTTATGTGCACTTTTATAATATTCACTAACTATATATACGTATAACATGATATAAAAAATCAACACTTGCAAAAATAACAGAATACCATAATTATACTTTAAGATCACTTGAAATTCTTCGGAAACATTTTTTTTAAAGTGACCTCTACCCCCAATGTGGGGCTCAAACTCGGAACCCCATGACTGAGAGTCACATCCTCTACTGACCAAGCCAGCCGGGTGTCCCTTTTCAAAATCATTTTTTAATGTGTGCATTACAGTCACTCATGGAAGTCTGAAGGATTTAATGGACACCGCTAATCCTTTCATAAACAATATGATGTATATGTGTGTGGGGGTACTCTCCTGTTTAGTCGCCTAAAGGGGTAATTATCAAGACCAAAAGCTTCATAATTTTTATGAATGAAAAAACTTGAAACTTCAATGATTTCAGGAATTGATCTCTGTAGATGAGATTCATTTCTTAAATCTTTCGGCAATTAGCTAATTCAGGATTAGCTAACTACTTCTTAGAGTCATTTGCATAAAGAAGGAGGGAGGGTTTCAGAAGGAGAATTCTCCTGACTTGCCTTATGTTTGGCCTATGTTAACTATGACAAATCATATGATGTCATTTTACACAGGGCTTTAAGCTACACATTACACAAAGCTGATAACTCTACAAGGATAAAATTATGTTCTTTTATAACAGTTTTAAAAGGAGGAATGTTTCTTATTCCAATTATTTTTTAAGCTGTTTCTGAGTAGGTGCTCACTGCATTGACTAAAACAGCCAACTCCAATAATACCATTTTTTAGTATTGACATTTAAAATTTCTCTCAGAAATAGAGTTCCATCAGTGATGGATGTAGAAATTTGCACTGTCCAAGCAGTTGTTTTGTGGAAATGGTGTTGTTATTTTCTGATTTTTTCCCAAGTCATCTCAGATGGAGCATGAAAATGAGATGCCAAGAGAGGCTTTAAAAAGATACTGAGGACCAGCTTCAGAGTGTAAGCAAATCTGAATTCCAGTGTTTAAAAGTTTTGAGAAAGCTAATCTATAAGTTAAGTGTTTACTAGCATCTCCTTGATTATATTTTAGAAACTGCTGCACAAAATAAGGGACCTATTCTTATTTTCTCTGGATTGAAAATACACATAAAACAGAAAATGCTTTCTATATTCTGTGTCCAGCAGTGATTTTATTTTCATTTGCTTTTTGCCACGATAGGGGGTGGTTACTGGTCATGGGGCACATATGAGTTATGTTGGAAGAAGAAATTTCTGATTTTGAAAAGGTAGTTTCTGCCTGAAAACCAAAATTTGTGTTCAACAAATATTGGATTTGGTGTACGTACTTGCAAATTACAAACCATGTGCCCATAAGAGACTCTGGTACATCACATAGTATTTTAATACCTGCCCG